AATCTCCAATGGCAACGAAGAATGGATCGGAACCATAGTCCAACTGAACTAGCATAATGCTTTCGAAAGTGCCGTCGCCCTGTCCAAGAAGTACACCTAGATAATTGGCATCATAATTCGCGACGACAATGTCCAGTATAATGTCGTTATTAATGTCATTTACGACTAAAGAGTATCGAGACGAACTTGAGCCTGTTGAATACATCATTTGATTTTCAAAAGAGCCGTTCCCATATCCAAGAATAACACCAACACTGTTCGACTCACAACTAACAAAGGCGATATCTACTCGACTATCATTGTTGAAATCACCGACAGCCATAGAGCATGGAGATAAATATGGGTGTGTTGAATATGTCATTTGATTTGCAAAAGAGATATTTCCATATCCAAGAAAAATACCAATATTGTGGGTGCGTGAATTAACAATGCCAATATCCATCAGACCATCATTGTTGAAATCACTAATCACTAATGACTGTGGTCGAGAATCATTTCCAGTTACTAGTATTATTTGCTTTACAAAAACTATATTGTCATACCCAAGCAAGACACTCACATCATTGTCCCACATACTGGCAAAAATGATATCTAGTCGAGTGTCGTTGTTGACATCACCGATAGATACAGATTGTGGAGAAGAGCCAACTGAATACCTTGTTTGATTTTCAAAAGAACCATTCCCATATCCAAGAAGGATACTCACATAATCGCTATTCCAATTGGCGACAACAATATCTAGTCGAGTGTCATTGTTGACATCACCGATAGCTACAGATTCTGGATAAGAGCCAACTGAATACCTTGTTTCAGTTTCAAAAGAACCGTTTCCATATCCAAGAAGGATACTCACATCATTGCTAAGCCAATTGGCGACAACGATATCTAGTCGAGTGTCGTTGTTGACATCACCAATAGCTACAGATGATGGATAAGAGCCAACTGAATACCTATTTTGAGTTGCAAAAGAACCATTCCCATATCCAAGAAGGACACTCACATCATTGCTATCCCAATTGGCGACAACGATATCTAGTCGAGTATCGTTGTTGACATCACCAATAGCTACAGATGATGGATAAGAGCCAACTGAATAACTTTTTTGATTTTCAAAAGAACCATTCCCATACCCAAGAAGGATGCTCACATCATTGCTATCCACTTTGGTGACAACGAT